AGAATTATTTTATTTAACTTTATTTATTTATTTATTGACCAGAGAGAGATAGAATGTGAGAGAGAGAGAGAGAGTAGTAAAGTGAGAAAGCAAGCCGCCAGGTCCAGGAGTCGAGCCATGGCTGGCCAGGTAGGAGTCCAGTGCCCTTAACCACCATGCCACCTCCAGGCACCCCACTCTGAATCTTGTCCTCCCCTAACCAGTTGTTAAACAGGCTATACATGTCCCTATCTTGAGGGTCGTGTCATGCAAATCCTCACTGAACTCACCTTCTTTTCATCACACTTATCACACAAAGATCCTCCAAGAGAGAGGCCTTTCCTGACTGGGCCTTTAACAGACTTTACCACCAACATCACCTGTTTATTTCCTTCATATACTGCTTGTCCTTCTTGAATTATCTTGCTTAACTTGCTGTTTCACTCCACATCAGACTATAAGCACGAGAACAGAAAGGATACTGTCTTCACCTTCCCAGCAAACTTTCTAATCTATAAAATGCTCAATCAAGTAAATGCTGCAATAAGATAAAAGGCTCATTGGGGCTGGCAGGTGGCATGGTGGTTAAGGATGCTGGACTCCCATCCCACATGGCCAATTGATTCGAGTCCTGGACCTGATGGCTTGCTTTCTCACCTTCCTTCTCTTTCTCTCTCTCTCGCTTGCTCTGTCCCTCTCTGGTCATATTAAAAATTTAAAAATTGGGGCTGGCAGGTGGCATGGTGGTTAAGGGTGCTGGAATCCTACATGGCTGACTGTAGTTTGAATCCTGGACCTGGAGGCCTGCTTTCTCACTTTCCCTCACACTCTCTCTTACTCTGTCTCTCTCTGGGCAAATTAAAATAACCACATAAAGTTAAATAAAATAATTTTTTGAGAGGTTTTTGCCATAGGGCATATGCATTCACCAGAAAGACAGAAAGCGAGAAATCACCCCCCCAGGGGGGATGGCCACACCATAATCCCTTCTCCTCCATTCTCCTCTCGGGATTTTGGGAATGCACGCACACGTGCGCCCTGCCTGAGTTTAAGCCACTGGGTCTTGGACTGGAACCGAAGTCGACTACGTGGGAGTTCAGCAACATAGCCATTACACCAACTGCTGGTCCCAATAAAATAATTATAAAGAAAAAAAAATTTAAATAAAATAAGTTTTCTTTAAAGAAGTATTTATTTTAATTTATTTACTTTTATTTATTTTCTAATTTCACCAGAGACAGAGGAGAGAAAGGGAAAGTGAGTAATCAAGCTTCCAGGTCCAGGACTCAATCCATGGTCAGCCATATGGGAGGTCCAGCACCTTAACCATCATGCTACTTACTAGCCCAATAAATAATTTTTTTTAAAAAGACAGAAGGCTTATCAAATAGGAAGAACTACAGGAACGGTCAGGATAGAAAGGGAACTTGAGCATAAATCTTGGTATCCCAGTTTTCACTTAACATCTTTTTTTTGTTGTTTTGAGACTTTTATACTATAGGATACATGTGCTAACAGGAAAGACAGAGATAGAGACAGATGCAAGAAATCACCCCCAGAGGGGATGGCCATGCTGCAATCCCTTCTCCTCCATTCTCCTCTCGAGATCTGGGGCACACAAGTCCCTGGCATGAGTTTAAGCCAAGGAGTCGCCCGCCAGTAGACTACGTGGGAGTCTAGCTGGGAGTCTAGCGACATAACCATTACTGGTCCCTTCACTTAACATGTATTGTGATTCCAATTTAACAGCTAACTTTTCCCACTGACTTTTGTTTTTTGTTTATTTTTGGAGAGCTATTTGCTATAGGATGTGTGCAGTCACCAGAGAGAGAGACAGAAAGCGAGAAATCACCCCCCCCCCAGGTGACTGACGCAATCCCTGTTCCTCCATTCTCCTCTCGGGATCTTGGGCACATACACGCATGCACTCAGTGTGAGTTTAAGCCACTGGGTCCAGGACTCAAACCACGGTCGACTATGTGGGAGTCCAGTGACATAGCCATTACGCCAACTGCTAGCCCCTCTGGACTGACTTTCAGGAGAAAATGCAGAATGATTATGAAGAGCCATTTTAATGAAAAGTTCAGAAACTGGCAAGTGGCACAGTGGTTAAGGTGCTAGACTCCCACATAGCCAACTGCAGTTCAAGTCCTGGGCCTGGTGGCTTGTTTTCTCATTATTCCATTCTCTTTCTCTCTATGGTCAAATTTTTAAAAACATGTAACGTTAAATAAAATTAAATTGTCTTAAAAAAAAAAAAGAAGGAAAAAAAAAAAAAAAGGAAAAGTTTAGCCATCAAAGTCCCCTGCCTATCCTAGAGTGTGGGAGGGAGGCTACCTTGTGTTGACACCACCCTACCTTCCACCTTTCCAGGAGCAGAGGTGAGCAGGGCCACCTGGCTTTCCACCTGCAGAAAAATTAAAGTGGATCTCTATCTCTCACCAGGTGGGATGCTGGTTAAGGGTGTTGGACTCTGACATGGATGACCACGGTTTGAGTCCTGGACCTGGCAGCTTGCTTTCTCCCTTTCCTTTTCCCTGTCTCTCTCTCTCGCTCGCTCCGTCCCTCTCTGGTCAAATTAAAATAAATAAATAAATAAATAAATAAGTTAATAAAATAATTCTTGAAAATGGAGTAGGGATTGCAGTACAGCCATCCCCCCAAGGGGTGATTTCTCACTGTCTCTCTGCCAAGTGCATGTATGCTATAGCAATAAAAACCTCTCTAAGGAAAAACAAAAAAAAACTAAAAATGGTTCAAAGATTTAAATACAAAGCCCCAAACTATAAAACTAATAGAAAGTGTAGTGGAAACTCTTAAAGACATTGGTGTAAGGAAAGATTTCTTAAATGAGACCTGTAAAGGGTAGGTAATAATCCCAAAAAATAGATAAGTGGGATTACATCAAGCTAAAAAGCTTTCTTAGAGCAAAGGAAACAACAGAGTGAAAAGACAACCCTCAGAAAAGTAGAAAATATTTGCAAATTATTCCTCAGATAAGGGGTTGATATTGAGAGTATATAAGGAACTCAAGCAACTTATTCATAAAAATTAATAATCCAATTTAAAAATGGGCAAATTAATTGAATAGACAAATTCTTCAAGGAAAACAAATGGCTAAAAGGCATATTAAAAAATGGTTTTGTTGTTTAATTTCCCTTGTTACAAGGGAAATTTGAATTAAAGCCACAATAAGATACCATTTACCCCAGTTAAGAACAAGTGCTGGGGGCTGGCAGGTGGTGTGGTGGTTAAAGGCACTGGACTCCCACATGGCAGACCATGGTTCAAGTCCTAGACCAAGTGGTTTGCTTTCTCCCTTTCTCTCTGATCAAACTGAAAAATAATAATAATAAAAAGAACAACTGCTGGTCAGGCTGTGGTGAAAGAACCCTCTCACATTATTGGTGGGAATGTAAATTAGTACAACCTCTGTGGAAAACAATATGGAGGTTCCTCAAAAATCTACAAATAGAACTACTATATGATCCAGTAATACCACTTCTTGGTATTTATTTTACCCAACAGACAGGAAAACACTTGCACATCCACGTTTACTGTAGCACTATTCAGAATTGCTAAAACATGGAACCAACCTAACTGTCCAAAAAAATGATTACTGAGTTGAAAAACTGTGGCACATATATACTATGGAATATCAATCAGCTATTAAAAACAATGAGACTCTGTTATTTGATCTAAAGTGGATGAATATAGAAAACTTAATGTTGAGCAAAGTGAGCCAGACTTTGAAAGTACACACTGTATATTCCCGCTCAATTTGTACTGAATATCTGTACTCTGGCAGAAATTGGAAGAGCTGAAGATACCACAGTGGAGACGATAAGTGTAGATACCAGAGACTGTAAGGGAAGGGAGTGGACGGTAGGGGAGTGGACGGTAGAGGAGTGGGTGGTAGGGGCTGGGGGGGGGGGCACAAGTTTAC